ACACATAAATAAAAAAAATTATCATTATATATTATTTCCAAAAGGTCATTTTATTTTTCGTCATTATGGGAGTAGAGAGGCAATATCTTCGTTAATTCTTAAAATTTAATCCAAATATTTGAGCAATAATTTTTTGGATTTTATTCATAAAATAAATACTTTATATCATATGTCAAAGTAATAATTTGCATTACTAACATAACAGATGTGTCAACGCCCGTATAGTTCTAAATAATTAGAATCCCCTGTAATAGTGTTGTACTATACATATAGCATATTTCAGTATTATATTACAACTTGTATTCAATATATTCGAGTACATAATAATATTTTCAACTGCGATTCATTTATTTTCTATCTTTTTGTTGCTTCAATACATTCCGCCTTTGGAACAGGTAATTCTTCGTTTATAGAAGTGATAAATCCAACGTAATTTCCATAACACAAGAACACCGAATTAATGGATATTACGTTTTAATTTGCATATTCTGTTATATTGCTTCATCTTAGATCCTACATAAATAAAACGGAGGAGGCTTCATATATTTTTAGCTGATGTGTCCACACGGATATATGCTAATGTATGTAAATATTGTAATGCAATCTCACTAATCTAAAAATTGATTGGCTCTGGTTATAAACATTAAAATTATACCGCCATTAGAAAATCAAAATGAATTACAATTTTATTGCATGTATTAGTAATATATTTTGAAATCCAATAAATTCTCTTATTCATAAGCGGTGTAGTTTGAAAAGAGTGTCCGAAAGAAAATGGTAGTTATTTGTCAATGTTAATTCTTATGAAAAAACAACTTAGATTCATTTTGATTTGATTTGAATGAAAAGAAATAAGTGGAAAATAAATTTCATAGGTTAGTCGCATGTATTATTTTTTTCTCCAACACAAAAATGGTTTTAGCGTAGTTTCATTGAAATCGGTACATTCGTTCAGGCGCTACAGTCTATAGCAACGAAGATTTTTTGGACGCCATTTTGAAAGTAAAAGGCGGATAGTAATGTCGATGAAGAAGGATCATCCTCGGGTGACCTCTGATTTTATATCCAAATTTGAAAAAAAATCGGTCCAGAGGTTTCGGAAAAAATGCGCGGACGGCGGATGGACAAAAAAACTTTTATTTTTTTCTCGAATTCTAAGTATCCTGAAACGTAAAATCTCATATTTTGAGAAGGGTTTAAGTTTTTGAATTTTTTGGTCGATCACAATAGTTCATTATTAAATAATTCGCTTAAAAACTGACATTATTTATTCAATAATTAATTTACAGTTTCGATAAATATTTATATTATCTCCAACACAGCGTAAATTTTTGGCAATATCATTCAAATATGACATATCTTATTAACCGTTGCAATCTTCTCCGCAAACACATATAAATTATTAAACCTTTCTCATTGTAACAAATTCTCTCTCTCTCTCTCTCTCTCTATATATATATATATATATATATATATATATATATATATATATATATATATATATATATATATATATATAATATGCATAAATATATGTATATGTATGTAAGTGTTAGACATATGATCCAAAATTAATAGTTAGACCTGAATACTTGTTGAAGTTATTAATGATCTAGGCGAGATCAATTAATCACTGGGATGGAACATATGTTCGGTGACGTGCAAGTTTCTCCAGAAATTCGCTGACAAAGCTTTGCCTTCCAGTCATCTTGTAGGATTCCCTAGTCCAGTATTCTGGAGATTCTCCTAAAATTCTAAAACCATAGCATCAAAAGTATATCATTCATCACCATCTTCTGAATTCACAACTTGCTAGATTAATATATAAAAATAAACATATGAACGAGCCTGGAAAATAATTTGATTCTCTTCCAATGATGAAGAATTATCAATGATTCTCTCCATACTATGTATTCAGTATCTTTATTAATATAGGAGAATATGATTAAGGTAGCGGACAAAATTAAATTGAGAAATCATCTGCCATCTTTAAATGTTTGTTAAATATATAGTTGGTGGAGAACCGAAATCGAAATATCTTTTAGATTTTGTGAAAAGAAATGGCATTCAAATGGAATATACTATAAGTCAATCTCCTCAAATGAATGACAGATGCAAGATAATGAATGGGGTTCTTCTATAAAAATTAAGAACTAAATCGATTTCTCGAGGGTCCCCAAGTTTTTGTGGAAAGAGACCTTGTTTATGAAACAAACAGATCACCAACTACACCAAGGTAGAGATAAAACTCATTCTGATCTATGGATTGTGCAAAATGGCCTGTCCAAATTAAAATTATTCGGATGTAGGGCATGGCATACTCTTAAAACCTAAACGCGAGAAATTGGAACCCCGAGCATTTCGTATTGTTTCGGTCGGTTACTATGGCTACAGGTTGTGGCTACCAAAGAAAAGGAAAAGTACTTAAGTCAAGATATGTCCCATTTGACGAGTCTGTCATGGATTGCAAAGATAAGATGTTCAAGGATAATCCTCAAGATATTGTAGAATCAACTCAAGTGGTAGAAAGTAATTCTGAACTGATAATACACCCAATATATATGTCGAAGATTTTTACGAGGGTTCTCCTATATACTTATTACCCCATTGACAGGAATAGATGTTTTCCTCGAAGAAAGATGTATGATTTTTCTAATACTAATAACGGTGATGGTGAGAAACACTTGAATGAAACCTCACTGAACAAGGAGAAACGAGGAACGAAAACATGTAAACCGTGGAGCATTAACATTGATAGATTGTAGCGGTTGTTAGAACGGAGGTGGCTTGTGACACGGGCCTTACCATCCGCTCTACTGGTTCCAATTAGTAGCTACAGCAACCTCTTGTTGAGGTAAAGATCGTTCTTTGGCTGTTATTGATATCATCGCTCCAAGTCAGAGTGAAACAGATAAGTGCATCTTGTGATTACAGTGAGCATATTGGAACATTACTTTATGAGATTAAGCTTTAAAAAATCGCTTTTAAAAAAAGTATTAATAAAATGTGATTTAAATTTCCATTTAAAGTATTTTTACTTTAATAATTCTCCCAAGAAAGCTGCACTTTCTGTAACCAATTCCTTTCTAACAGCCTGTTCCATATCTTCCTCAACTATAAAAAGCTAAGCATCCAAATTCTTCAGTGCCAAGACTATATTTGCCTAGAAAACATGGAGGTAGAGGACTTATTAGTTTAATGAAGGCCTGCCGTGAACAAGAAGCCAGGCTTAGAACCTACTTCATGAATAGTACTTCAACGGTGCTGTCGACGGTTGCTGCCCATGACCGCAACTATACAGCACTGAATATGCTTCGGCAAGAACAAATGACAATACCAACTGAGGAGAGCCTCATAGAATCATGGAAGTGTAAATCACTTTATGGAAGATTTTACAATTCCATGAAAACACCTGCCATAAATTTAAAAGCCTCAGTCCGTCGGTTGACTACTGGAAAAATGTTCCCAGAGTCAGAGGGATTCCTTCTGGCAAAGAAGAACAAGTAATGGCAACATCCTCGTACAGGAAGTATATTCTACATGAAAAAGTCGATGACAGATGTTGTCTATGTAAAGCCACAAATGAATCCATTCAGCATGTTACCTCTGGCTGCCAGGTATTAGTGCGTTAAGAATATCTTGCGAGGCACAATAATGCGGCCAAAATCGTACATCAGGCTCTGGCACAAAAATATAAATTAATAACAGGCCATCAGCCTTTTATAGAGCCGCAGGCTATATTAGGAAAAGGGAATGCCAAGCTATACTGGGATCAAACTATGATAACTGACCATAGTATTCCTCACAATAGACCAGATATACTGCTCGTTGACAAAGAAACAATGAAAGTCATCATTATCGAAGTTGGAGTTCCTGCTGATGATAATGTTGCTAAAACATTAAGTGAAAAAATTCGGAAGTATCAAGAGCTATGCGAGGAATTAAGGCAGTTATACAGGCTGGTGGAAGTAAAAGTACTACCTATTATTGTATCCAGCAATTGCCTGATTCCTGAAGAGACTCTAAAATCAATGAAGATACTTGGATAAAGTTGGGAACTTCAGGAAATCCAGAAAGCGGTAATGTTGGGAACCGCCAGCATTGTTCGAATTATTTTTAATTTTTCCAATTAAATATTCAATAAACTGTACCCTTGACCTCGGTCCATGTCAGTGCATTTATCCGGCATAAAGCTGAGAATAGAAAAATAAATAATAATAATTAATAAATGCATATAAAATAATTTCAATAAAGTTAAATAAAAATTTAGAATGTTATTAATTTAAAAAAAAAATTAAGAATGAATAGTTTAGTATAGAATCTATAATGTATTACTTATTATTATTATTATTATTATTTATTTGTTTCACTATTTGCTTGGTTGTTTGTAATAGGTCAAGCAAATATCACATTAATATATTTTTTAAAATATTTTATATTTGTAAATTTTCAAACAATACTTACCGTTCCCAACAAACTTGCCATTTGCATTTTTTCCATGGCCATGAACAGTAAGTCCTGTTAACTACTAAAACTAACGGTATTATTATTATTTATGTTATTTGTAAATATTATATAAAAGCGTGTTTTTATTTAAGTTGTCATTTTGATTCGTTTAGTTTTTATTTCTTGTTTGTATACATTTAGTTTTAGTTATATTATTTTTCCTGTATAATTTATTTATATTAATTTTACGTAGAGTGTGAATTTGCTCTCTGAACACTATTATAAATGTCCTTTGAGACAGGTTGTAATATTTCCCGAAAACTACAAATTAATAAAGAATAATCTATAAACTAAGAGTATTTTTTTTTTATTGAATTCGACCTATAAGCAAAAAGTAGAGAGAAGTTAATTAATGAAATAAGATAAAAACTGGAAATTGATAAATTTTATTTTTTACAGTTAATTAGTTTTACAGGTAATTAATTTTTATGAAATCTAAATTAATATCAAAATATTTCATAATCAACTTTTTTTTTTTTTTTTTTTTTTTATAGGAAACTTCAAAGCGGGCCCAGAGCCGGGTACGATCCTGAAGAAGTTGTGTCCTAAGGAGCAGCTCTGCTTCCAGATCCTTATGAAGGACATCCTGAGGCCCTATGTCCCGGAGTACAAGGGTCATGTTACCTGTGAGGACGGAGACGGTATCCTTTTATACAAATTAATAAATGATACAAAAAAATAATCTATACTGATTTTAAGAGTCCTCTTAAGTCGTTGTATTTAATTTAATATTATTTGAAATGTTACTGTTCTATATTGGAAATATCTTGTAAAATCATTAAAAACTTAGACTTATTTATGATCGTTTATGTTGAGCATTTTGATTAAAATTACATTTATGATATAATTAAGTAATTGTTCTTTCTTCTGCACATATTCAGTCGCGAAACTCCTTCCATCTAATCCCTCCAGTTCGTTTTCTCCCTCATATGTTATTTATTTATTTTTATTTTATTTATAAATACCACCATGTTTTGTGCCATAAAATAAACCAACCAATCAGTAATATAGCTTATTTGGAATAAGACCCGAGTCTAACCTCTTAAAGACACTTTAATATACGCTATCCATAAAAACTTTTTTTTACGCAAGACTCAAAATATCTTGCGGTGTTGGGTAGGGGCGGAAGAAACGGCTTCCTTCGGAGATCCTGAAAAGATGTGTGGAATTTTATTTTTATAATTATTTAAGGATGATTTTACTGCATAAGTATGATATGCATATTTTATTTTTTAAATGAGAGAAGAATATTTGTTTTTGAACTATAAAAAAATAGTTGTTTTAAAAAATGCCTTTTTTAGAGATCTCAAAGATTAACCCCCTCCCCCCATTCCGGGACTAAAATACTAATTGTACTTTTTCATTAGACATTAATCTCAACTATAAAACAAGCAAACATTTTTTTTTTTTAATAAACCAAGTTAGCTGTATAATCTACTAAAAAATAAGCATACATCTAGAAAAAAGGGATAAGGTAATTATTTTATAAATGGAAAAAATTCAAACTACCAAGCCATAAGTCTCCAAACATCCAGATGAATAGTTAAATTTCCAACGTTCCACCAATTCAGGCATCATCAGGGAAGAAAAACCTAGATGACTTCTACGCATTAAGAAAAAAAAGAAAAGAAAAAGGAACAGAAGAAAAGCATTTTTTTTATTGTTGCTGAAGACATCTCACGAAGACTCCAAATTATATACAGGAGGAAAAAGAAGGTTCTATTAACACACATAAGTAAGATTATATCGAAGAGCTGATTAACAGGAATACAAAGAAGAAAAGAAAAAAATACAAAACGTGTTAATTTTTTTTTCTCTTTGATTATTTATCCGCACCTGTCATGGTTAAATTAAATAATAAATTTAAAAGAAAAAGCAACTATATTTTTTTTCTTCGTTTATTTTTTTTTCTTACTGCTTATAAGTGATTATGATAAGGCTTTTTTGCTCGGATGATGCCTGAATTGGCGAAACGCAAGTCAACTATTCATGACTTCGTTCTTTGGATTTGTCCGTTTATAACATCTATAGTCAACTCTTATTTCCAGCATCTTCGTCCTATTCTTTAAAAAATTCTACACTTATTTGTCTGTATTTAAATTTCGAATATTTAACCACTAATTTAATTACTTTAAAAAAGGTTCTTTACGTTGAGCATGTTTAAAAAAAAATGAATGATTTTTAAAACGTTCTGTTCTGTTCTGTTCTTCCCTACCTAGTCTTTTAGGCTACACGGGATTTTCCAGGACCGGGACGTGAACTCGTATTTTTCAATCTTTTCAAATCTATAATCCGATTGCCAGGCAACTCGCGGTGCTGTGCATACGCTTTAACCTATTAGGCCACCCCGCCCCCTTTTTTTACAAATGATTTTTAAAACGTGAAAAAGAAATCAGTGCTAAATGTTCTGGATTATAAGTGCAATTTACTTTTGACAAATGTTCTATCACGTCAGTATGTGTTATCCTTGACATTACGACAGGCACGTCGATGTACTTGCAGCTGCAGGATCTTCTCGGGGACTTTACCAATCCCTGTGTGATGGACTGCAAGATAGGAGTCCGGACGTATCTGGAAGAGGAGTTGGCCAAAGCGAAAGAGAAACCTAAACTGCGGAAGGTCAGTACTTCTATTTTTCTAAGATAATATTTAGGATTTCAATATTCATAAAAAAATGTATTTATTATGTGTTTGGCGCAAAACAAATTTTTTGACTTAGTAAAAACTGACCAACTACACGAAGTATTGCGTTGTAAATATAGATTTAAATAGGAGATGGATTTTACACCAAGATTTGTATTATCTATATTTTCTCGGTCACAAATTTTAATATTCTAGGTATTGCAAACGTGAAGCTTTTATACATACCTCTACAAACTTTGTTTAATACTCTTTTGTTTCGGTTGTTTGGTGGCGCTCCTAGCCCACCTGTAACCGCACATCAAAAGGTCACTCGCTGGGTGCAGTTCTGACGGAAGGATGAGTCGATAGGATTGCTATGCGATGATTTCGGATATTAGCGAGTGTAAAATAATCTTATTGAAGGAAGTTATTCGACTGACATCATAGGTGATAAATAGTCAGGACGCAGTCATTTTCAGATGTTTATTGTTCTTGCGGCAGTTCAATCCAAGCATGCGGGTCATCATCCTGTATCCAGTACTGAAGTACTAAGGAATATTTGAACTCCTTCAGTACTGGAATCAAGATGATTGAAACATGCTTGGATTGAAACATTGCTAACTTTTAAATAAAAATTTTAAAATGACATCGTCCTGACTATTTATCACCTATGTAAAATGATCTCCAAAAATAAATAATCATACCACAGTCTTCCACCCATACTTCTAAGAACTTTTTTTTCTCTTTATTGCTTAATTCACAACTGTCAGTGTTCACCAACAACCAGCGAATGTGATAACAGTAATCAAGTACTATGGAATAAACAGGGCACGGTAGACATGAGGAAGAGAATCACCCAGTTGCTTATCTTCGTTCCTGTATCTTATTGCTCAAGGAGGTCTCTCATCCAGGTCCTTCTCAGCCTTCTATGGATGTGATTGGGCATGTTTTTCTTGGCCATATCATGAACTAGTCCATTGGGGTGAACTTGAAGCTTTTGTTGAAAGCTTTATAGTAGGTCCGTATATATTCGTTGACATTCTTAAATTCTAATAACATAATAAAACTATTAATATTTAATTATTTGGCGCCCAAATATTAACATCGATTTATATTATTTTTAGTATCTTGAGTAGTGTTTTAATTTTAACATTGGTAATTATATGAATTTATTAATAAAATCTTGTAATGATTTAAAACGGCAAGGCTCATTAATTAGAAATATCAAGTGAAAAGAAAGTCAAACTATACATATCAATAAAAAATAAATAAATCCCTTATTAAATTAAGTTATACTTTCTGGACAGCCAAAAAACAGAAGTTGTTTGAAAATTAAATTTAGTTTTTTAGTTTAACACAAAAAAAAAAGATGAGTCCCATCATCTAATCATTTATTAGAAACCATGTAAATTGGCTGAAATAATAATGACAATATAAACCTCATAATGAAAATATGCAGAAAAATGAAAATTTCAAGACATTGAAACTCGTCGAAAAAGTAATTAAAGGGTTATGAAAAAAGTAAAATTATAAAAAATGAGAATGATTTTCTTTATGTATAAATTTTGATATTTATTATGCAAATTAAAAAAAATCACAGCTAGAGTCGCCTCTCCCCTCTCCTTCCAGCATGAGATAACTCCCCTTACTCCCGCGATCCTGCCGAGCCTAGACGAGCGCTGGCCACAAATCGTGCAGACAGCTTCCGATACAGAGGCTGCTAATGGGCAAGACATGTTGGGAGGATAACATAGCCTGACAGCATGCACCCTAGCGCTCCTGCCATTAGATAGACATTGGCAGCTACCTCTGGGCCTCCCCATTTAGATAGTCTTCACCCGCCGATTCCTAACTCCTTCCCACACTTCTTCATTTTTTATTTAAATACTTTATCATATAATTAAAAAATATATATTTATTTTCGTATTTAACTTCAATTAAAATAACACAGATGAGATGAATTTTTTTTTATCTCTCTTCCCTATTCCTAACAAAACATTATATAGATCTGTAGATGAATGGATTTGAGACGAATTATTTGATATAAGGAATGAATTAGAATAAAGGAAGGAGGATTTTAATGGAATAGATTTGTGAAAGAATTTTATTCATAGATTAAGGGAAAAGCACGTAATTATCGTGGATTAGTATTATTGTATGTGGAAATCTTTAAAAACTTCGAAAAATATATTGAATAAAACAATCTCATCGTTAATATTTTTAGCAACATTTTTATTTAGACAAACATTGCATAGTAAACTGTGGAGAGAATGGTTGGTTTAGTATGTATGCATAGGAAGAAGATCACAAAAGTTGCTAAAATGGCTGAGAATGTAAACAATAAAATAGCAAAAAATATTAACGACAAATTTCCGGAAAATAAAATAAATTGATTAATAGAAACCGATTTATTGATACTATTCCAACATTTCGAAAGAACTTATCAGGAAATAAAGAAGCTCTTTACTTTAAAGAAATCAACTTTATTATTTGTTGTGTCTCCCTGTGAGGGTTGTGTCTCCCTTCTTTTTTAAGCTGGATACACCTTTATTGTTGTTTAAGATAAGTGCTCATTTCAATAATGGGTTTGATCTAAAGTGTGAAAATATTAGATCAACTCTTTAACGGCAAAAAAAAAAAAAAAAGAACGAAGAAGTGGCAATCGGTGAATGGATTAACATAGAAAAAAATGTAGCGTATAATGAGCATAATTGTGCGACAAAATTCAATTTAAAATTTCTGCTAAAAAGGGACATGTCTATTGTTGAAATCTTAAGTTTAACTTTGAAATCTTAACTTAATTTTAGTTTAAAGGAGCTGTGGAAACTGAACGTTTTCGAACATACAAGCCGAAACTGTACTTAATAGCGTATAAGTATTAAGGATTTATCGAGCCGAATGCATTTTTTATTATTACATTATTGGGATATGATGTGGTCAACCCGCGTTGTTATTATATATATATATATATATATATATATATATATATATATATATATATATATATATATATATATATATATATATTATATATATATATATATATATATAGATAGATAGATAGATAGATAGATAGATAGATAGATAGATAGATAGATAGATAGATAGATATATCATTATTTCTATAAAATATTAGAAAGCCAAGAACCGTTTTAAGTAGACTGAGTAACCCGCTTGACACAATGACGAGACTGAATATATTTAAATCTATTGCTAAAAGCCTTTTCAACTCTAGCTTACTTGTTTGGCGTAATGTATTCAAATGTCTTCATTTACGTAAATTTAGCGAAGAATAGCGAATCCTTTATGCGAGGTAGCAGTCATCCAATGTTTCGTATTATAATTTTTTTTTTTAAGTGCTGAATAGCAGTGTTCTCGGGAATATAAAAATTTTATTCGTTATGTTTTTATGAACTTATCGGATTTGTATTGTTCTGGTTTTCATTCAATAGTTTCATTATATTATTATACCTGCTGGTTAATGATTTGATTAAATGTATTAGATAAGAAAAATTTTGAATAAGTTTTTATTCATTTAGGAACTATGAATGATGGCATATTGTCTCATATGTTCCACATTATACTTCTCTTACCGGATTTTTTTTTTTTTTTATACCACTGTCAGTTGTCAGGTACAATCTGTCATGACGAAGATAACGTGTCCATCATCCTAGGTTGAAGAAAAACCCAGAGATGGGAAAATATCTATGATAGAAAAAAAAAAAGAAGTAAATACAAGTAAAAAATGCTCAAGTAAATAGTAGTGGTATAGGTGATGGAGATCTGCTGCTACACCGGCTGCCTCTGTATTAGGATAAGTCAACTTTTTTTTCCCGCCGATTTCCTTTCCCGCCATTTCCCATGGATAAGGTAACGGTTGTACAGGAACCTCCTTATGGATCCTTTCGGAAGGATTCAGATGGCTGCTATTATCGTATAACATTCTCCTTCTCGTGTTATCTCGCGTTATTGGTTTCGTCTGCAGATCCTTAGGGTTTGGGCGCATTCACTACCTCTATGTTAGAAAACATTGTTTCGTCTAACGTACGTTCTTCCATGAATATTTCTTATCTTCTATGATTCTTTCATCAATTTTTAATTTTTGAAATATCCTTCCCTTTAGACCAATGCAAAAATTAAGCTACGACTATTCACTCCAAGTATGTCCTTCTCTTGAAGGGGTTTCAAAGACGCTGATTCTTGGCAGTCACCTCCAGAGTTATCTAGATGATAAAGATATCCCTAGCACAAAATCGACTCTGGAAAACAGAAAAAACAAATTATTATCTACAGGCGCATCCAATCTGTCAGTTAAGAGACATAAGTTTTACTTACTGTGCTTCCTCATTCCGTATATAATAAATTAACGCGTTATTTACAAATAAATTATAATGATAGCACATAGGCGATTTAAAAAAAAAATCATATCACTATCGTATCTACCTTCCTGGGCCGGACAGACCACATGAGTTGGTTTTTTTTCAATTTTTTTCTCCATGTTTTATTTGAGTTAGCTTTTTTTACTAAAAAAAAATAAATATATATATATATTTTTTTTTAGTAAAAAAGCTATATATATATATATATATATATATATATATGATTTACTAAAATTAGTCCTCAGAGTTTAAGACGGGAACATTAAAAGAAATCAAAGGTAAAGTCAAGTCACCTATGGTCGTCGATTCAGAGAACAGTGCATCATAGAGATGGGCGATAGTCGATAGTTTTCTACTATCGATTGTTCGATAGTATCGTTAAAAACTATCGATAGTTCAGTAACTTCCCGACACATACTTAAAGAGGATTTATTTTCGTTGCATTCTTTAGTTATTTACTTTAAAATGCTGCATAAACGTTATAATAATTTACATTTATATTGGATGTATCCTTAAAGATTTTTGTTAATGCACTAATGAAAATTATTAAATAAATAATTCAAAAAATTATTGACAGGAAAACACATTTGTATAGAAAAATAAATTGCATTTATTTCG